ACTCACCCGAACGTGAGAATTCTATCGTGTCCTACACGACACATTGAGGCGGTTTCGATTAGCCCGTTTCCGCAGGAAGGCGTTCAATATTGGCCCGCAGTTGAGATCGGCTTCGTCGACCCAGGTCGGCCCGTCATATCCTGTCCAATGCACCAGGAATTCTCGGTAGATCCGACCAAATCGTGTCTTCTTCCAACTCCGCACATCCGATATCCGCTCGACTTCGTACCTATCGGCCCGGAGATCTGGAACCCAACTGTCCTCCGGAAGCAGGATCTCATCGAAATCGAGACGATCCGTCTCATCCACCGTGAGTTCTACTCGCAAACGACCCGGAAAATCCTTGACCAATTTCAACTTTGAAACCTGCACTACTGAGAAGATCTGGTACCCGGTACCTGCGATCCCGAGCTTGACGCTGAATTCGTTGATCATTTGGGCGACTCGGAACGGCCCATGCCACAGGTGGGTCAAATTCCACGCGTACCCTTCCTTCGCCCGATCAAGGTATAACCAGATGTGAGATCCGGCCTCGATCTGGTGCGATCCGACGTCCTCGTCGTGTCGGCCGGCCCGATCAGCAATGTCCTCCTTCAATCTGGCATTGACTTGTTCTCGGGGCTGCTGATAATATCGCTGGACCCGATAACGCCACCGCTGTGCGTCTCGATCGCGCCGTCTCGTGCATCCGACCGGCAATGTAGCCTCCAATGTCGATCTCGGATTCCACCCATGCACCAAATAGTGAGGGGTATCTCCTCGGATCCGATCGTGAGCCGTGTTGATCGCGAAGGTGAGCCGCTCATCATACTCGTCCCAATCCTTCTGATCGAGATCGCGAACGTACATCTTGAGCGCCCTGGTCGCGGTCAGCACCATTCTTTCAGCGGCCCCGTTGTCTTGTGGCCAATATGCCATCGTCGTCCGCTGCCGTTGTCCCAGGATCTTGTTAAAGACCCGGAAGAAATCGGACATGAAGCCGAATTCTCCATCATGCCGGATCATCTCACTGGTACCAAATCGGCGAAATACACACTCTTCGTACGATTCCGCAACCGTCTGGGCCGACCGGGACGCGCTAGCTTTCGCAATCACGTATCCTGTGAACAGATCGCCCCAGATCACTAACTCAGTGTTCGCCTTGTGGAATTTGGGCAGCGACGGTATAGGATCCATGGCAATGATCTGGAACGGGTATGCCGCCTGCAACTTCCCTGGTAATTCACCTCGGATCACTGGTTTTCCTTTTCCCGTTTCACAGTCCACGCATCCCCCACATATCGCTGAACGCTCCGATATAATCCTCTCTAGTGGAAGTGATCAGTGATCCGCTGGTAGGTACGCCCCACTCCCTGATGCCCACCCTCCAGCGTGGTGTGATAGTGGTGTAAAACGTCCGATTGCAACGTTTCGGGCACCACTAGTCTCAGCAATCGGTCGCGACCATCTCCCGATCTCGGCGTGGGAGGGTAGTAAAAGAGTAGATCCTGCTCGTCCACCTAGTAATCGGCTGCGATCTTGCCGTGCGATCTCGTTTCCGCTTGTGTGAGATCTGCGATCGACCCACTCAGGTACTTCTTCATGCCTGCGATCCAGACTTCCTCCTCCTGGGCCTGCTTGATCCGATCGACCCGCCTCTCCCGGATCAGATCCTCTTGCATGACACCCGCGGGTGGTCTTACTCGAGCAGCTCGAGTTGTCACCGCTGCTACTCTCACCACTGGGTTCTCAGTCCTGGTAATCAAGATTTCCACCTAACCGGTTCCGTGGGACCAGATCCTGGTACCCGGGCATCCTCTGGACCTCGATCCCGCCTTGTCGTTGCAAAGCGGCACTCGCCAGACTGTTAGCACTTCCATTCCAGTCTCTCTTGACATGCGCTAGCTCATGATAACTCCATTTCCTCAGGCGATCGATGGCCTTCCGCTTCAATAGCGTCAGTCCGGATCTCTCCAACAAAATATTTCTTCAGACCCAAGTTCCACGACTCTTCATCTTGTGCTTGCCGGATCCGCTCGATCCTCACGAAGACACTGTGGCCGATTTGAACCAACAACTGAAGCATGCCAAGAGCGCATTCATGGCCAAGATCGCGGCGAA